TGATATCATTTTTGCATAATTCTGACGTTCCGGACTTGCTGGCGCGGTCTATTTCGCCGTTGGAAGTCGTTTTGACGAATTCATCGATTTGCGTGCTAATTTTCTCGTGTCGAAAGTATGGCAATATGGGTGTCCTTTCCTACCAAAATTTGTGTCCCGGACGCATTGACGCAGTCCATTTTGTCTTCGGAAGTCATCCCGAGAAGTTCGCATTTTCACCCGTTCTTTAGGCTTAATTGAAGTCCGATTTCGTGCAATTTTGTGAACTTTGTGGAAAAAAAAAAGGTGACGATGTCTTCCTAAGGCTTGAATTCCTATTGGGAACTTTTCCTCTGAGTCTTCACAAAATAGCCCATAACCGCTCATTCATAAGACGATGGTCTTGTGCCATAAATGTTAGACATCAAAGAAAAATAAGAAGTGACTGGAATTTCTAAAAAGGTGAGTCTCAATTCTAGTTTTCTAGGATGGTCAGTAGGAATTTCTAGAGCTAGAATCTAGGCTCTAAGGAGGAGAAGACAAGACCTCACAAAAATGAGGTCAACAGATCATAATGATGTTTTTTTTTTTTGGTTTCTATCTATGAAATTGTTATTATGACAAAAAGATGAAAGCTTGAACTCTTAAATATTTTTTTCCTTATAAAATTATCTTCTTTAAAATTACCTCCCTATTCTTTATTAACCACTAGGGGTGTGCATTAGTTAGTATAAACCTATGAAGCATGGACATATACGTGGATACAACATTATATAGGCACAACAAAACTACATAATTACAAAAATTATGACACAATAAGTCATGAAAATATTTTCAATTATTAATATTATTTGTATAATTTTCAACTATGCTACACTGAAGATATCACAATATAAGATAAAATATCATGAAAAATTCATTTCCGAAGATTAAAAAAATTAAACATGATTGACAATAAAAAAAGCCTTGTCAGAACAATGTTTGATAATTAATTTAAGTTGTTGTTGCATGTTCTAATACAAATATTCCTTTCAAAATATAAAAATTTCTCCCAAAAAATAAATGCCATTATCATCATTAAAATAATCAAGCAAAGCATCAATATATGAGCATCTCTTGTTTGTGGATTTTTTAAGAAATTCGAAGATTTAATTTTTATAGCTTAAATAATTTTATTATTATTCTCTATGCTTTTAAAATTTTATCATTTTTTTATATAATTTTAATTTTATTACAATTGTTAATGAATTTTCAAAGTCTTAGATAAATAATTAATTATTTAATTAAAAGGAGGGTTATTGCATTTTATGTGCATTTAAGCTCTAAACCTTATGAGAATAATTTCCAAGCTTAGAGATGAACTGAAGATTATTCTATAAAAATTTGGAAATCTCTTATTATTAGCTTGAATTTTTTTTTGAGCTGTTTGGACTAACAAGAATTCAAAATACTACAGACTTTGGAGAGATCTTATTTTTATGGTGTAAAATGTGTTTAAAATAATTTTCCTCTTTTCCTTGATTATACCTTATGAGAAGTTAGCGACCGAAACTCAAATATTAGAAAAATGATAATAAAAAAAATAATCTTATTTGGCCACAGTAGCTTATCTTTTGATACGAACGCAGCTCTGCCAAGGGAGCTTCAAAAAACCAAGATGGCTTCCGCTTTGCTCCAGTGTCATCTTCATTGCCTCGCTTTTGTGCCTTTGTTTTCTTCCTCGTTTTCCTAGCTTATGTTTAAAGCAAGTCATGCTTAGCTCAGAGCATCTTTAGCTTCCTTGTCATTTCAAATTAGTTAGGTTGTTACTTTTTTTTATTTTTAAATTTTACACTTTTTCTTGGCTTGCCGCTATCTTGCATCCCATGCTCTGCACCCCATTCCATAGTTTGTTTTGATACGATGATACTGTTGTGTCAGATTGTTTTGATACGATGATACTGTTGTGTCAGATTGTTTTGATACGATGATACTGTTGTGTCAGATTGTTTTGATACGATGATACTGTTGTGTCAGAGCCTTATTTTATTTTTGACACCGTTTGTCATGTTTTGGTTATGTGTCAGAGCCATGTCTGTATTCATCACATCCTACACGAACATGGACACCATTTGAAAGTGTTGGTGTTTCACAGGCTTCTAAAGCACCGAAACGAACCAAGCAAATTTGCTTGATTCGATTTGGTTTATAAAAGCATAGCTCATTTTTTGTTTCAAACTATGAGTTATTTGGATTATGATTACTGGTTCAGTTCGAATAAAAATTCTCTTAAACCAAGAAATAGAATTGTAGTGCGGTTAAATCAAGTTTATGAACCAATTCATCTAAGCTGATAGAATGCACACCATTTTACTAGGATTTCAAATTTTGGTTTAACAAAAACTGAACCGAATAAATTGAGTTATATTGCTATTTGGTTTGCTTCAATTCTGCCTATTGTTTTGTTCGGTTTAAGCACTTTAATAAATCTATTAACCAATCCAACCAAAGCAACTGGATGGACGCCCCTAATAACCATTTGTTGGTGAATATTCTTTATATACATGAAGCTTGTTGGGATGGCAACTTGTTTTGCGTTAGATAAAAACAATGGTTGTGGATAAACTCGTAAAATTACTTCATCGATGTTTAATTAGTTTTCTTTGCCTTGATTTTCTTATTGCTAATTATACTATAAGCAACTATTGATTCAGTGTTTCCTTAACCTTAATGGTGTTCACTTTTGTTCAATTGCCTTCTTCTTAAACTTACCTTCTATATTGATTTTTTAGATACTAAAGCTAACACGGGAGACCAAAAAGATCCTACCATCTATATCACTATCTGTCACTGTCCCTCATACATTAACTATCCTTGATCAGGTTGGTGTTATGATATATGTTATGGAATATAGTTTATTTATTTATATGTTGAGAAGAATTTACAAAAGCATTTGCTTTATTATAGGTAATGCTAGCAGAGTTGCTGGAACAAGAAGGTGCTGACATAATTCAGACTGAAGGCGGAAAATATTCAAATCCAACAAAACCTGGAGTTATGGGTTTAATTGAGAAGGTAAGCATTACTGTCAAAATTGCTGGTTGGGGTGAAAATAAAATATTGTTTTGAGTGATATTTTTGTTTTACTCTACAGTTGTCTTTTTGTTGCAGCTCACCCTTGATTGTTGAGTCAAAGGATTTTGATTGTAAAAACTAAAGGGCCTTTAAATGGGGTGTAAATTTTTTTGTTACTTTAGCCAATTCTGGTATTTTTAGAGGGACTAAAGTGTTGCAGACTTCTTCTTTTCATTAGATGCCTGTTTCCATGATCGTTTTCTTGATTGTTTGGGGGAATCAAATATTGAGGAACACATTTAATGTTGCTGGGATTTGAACTTATGAGCTCGACAACACCCACAAGTCATGGGCTCAAATCACCTAAATGATATATGATTTCAAATCACAAAAGTAGTTCCTATCCTATAATTTGTTACAAAAATTGCATGTTAAAAATATTAGCGCAATCTATAAACTGTGCAACTAATTTGTTTGATGTTATTATTGTCAATCCTTCCGAGGTGGAAATATTTCTCTATTTATGCATCAACTGATAAAGTAAAGCTACAATTCTGGACTTCCTTTTTGATAGCTATATACTTTTCTTCCCCCTATTTCTGGAAATGCTTCACATATACAAATTGAATATCGGCCTGAAATCCAGCATAATTATATACTTCCCAAAATTGGAATGAGAAAATGTCAAAATGGTCCAGGTCCATTTAGTTTCAGAGTCCATAAACTTATAGATTTAGTCCCTTAAATCTTTTAATGGAGGCTAATATAGTCCTCCTTAGGGATTATTTCAACTCATATTAAAAGAGTCTATAAAGTAATTTGAGACTTCTATA